GGCAAATAAAAGACAACCACTCCACCCCAGGACAGTGCAATGTTTCAGGTGCTTAGCATGTGACAGTTTTTTAAACTCAACTTGGACAAATCTTGACCTTGGATGATACCTATTTTATACAAATGTTCACCCACGTAACTTTTAATTTATTAATGAATTTCATAAATTAAATCTTAACTTGGATACAAAGGAATTAATTGTTTTCACCTATGAAAAGAGATTACATCTATCAACACGTAAATGCATGAAAGTTTTTCTATTTTGTATACTACTCCGAACTATTACCCAAAACATATTACATCAAAATCCTAACAGGTGATTGCTAATCTACAAGCACGTACATCTCCATTGTGAACCTGCACCAAAAAGTATACTACAAACCAACGTGCCTAACCAAATTCAACAAGAAATACAACTAAATGAGTCATGCATAATAATTCAGAATATTCTTGATTACACAACACAAATGGATAAGTAAGAGAAAAACCCTTCATCCAAGTAAATAGACCTTGTCTAACAAACAATGCAATGAAAAACATCCAAAACAAATCCGAGATCAAGCTAAAGAAAAAGATAAATGTCAACCAATTGTCACGTTTAATTTCTTTTCCCCAGCAACACTGACAAGGAGACTCCCCAACATTTCTGACAAAGCGTCCTTAGTGCACCCATCACCACAAGTCACCTCGGCCTTGACATTGAAGGAGGAGCCATCATAAGCAATCAAGGGATTAGATTCCTTGGTTCTCTTAAACCCATTGGGAGGAGCAAGGTGCTCCACTGCTGACGCAGGACGAGCAGGGATGGACTCCAACAACTGTTGGAGTCTTGAATAAGAATTTCTTTGATGCTCTCCTGGTATCAAATATAAGAAACAAACGATGAAATAAATAAGGATTGTTGCCCTACCAAAAGAAAAGAGACAACAAAGACCAAGGCAAGTACCTCTAGCACCTGCTGGTCATAAATTACAGGTTAATGTACTCGTGTCATAAACTTCAACACTGGAGCACATTTGTAATCATTCTACCAAAAGAAAATGCAAAAGAGAAAGGAAAGGGAAACAAATGTTGCTTAAGGTACGACAGAAACAGAGAACCATGGTAAAAGTACAAACCATAGAAGATCCCATATTTTATTATCAACTCAAAGTCCCAGGTTTCCCGTACTGTTTCATACCAAATACCAGAATAGAAGAGTTTTAAGTGATGGAAGATGGTCCCAAATTTCAGAATTTTCACCCAAGATAGTGAAATCTACCTCTATTCCGGTCTTGCACAGCATATCTAGATCTCACTTCTAGTTGCTCAATGTCCACGTTGCCCGCAGCAGCAAGTTCTGAATTTGTACTTTCCTCAACATCATTCTCCTAATTTTTACAGATTTTGAAGTTAGTGATCTATTAAATAGAGAATATCAACTACAGTTCTAAAAAATCATTCACAAACTTCAAGCTCACCTGGAACATGTGAAAATGATCACCAATTACATTAGATCCTTCTGACAGGAGGGTCAACTGGTTCTCAGTAGAGACATGCTGAGTAGTACCATAAGAATTGATTGGAGAATGGTTTTGTTGTAAATAATTATTTTTGCAGGTTTCAGATAATATCTCAGGAAGGAAGTGTTCAGATTCAAAGGTTTCAGTAGGATAGTTTAGCGGACAGTTCAGATCATTCAGCTCCAAAAAGGGCACATATTCACCCACATGCATAAGGTTCACACTATACTCAGTTGTCTGACAGCCAGAGAGATTTAACTGATCATCTTTCAGCTCCGCCCAGTTATCAAGGTCCTCCAAACTATTATATATCTCACTTCCATCCAAAGGAGGTAAGGGTTCATTGTTTACAGCCTGTAGGCAAAGCTCCCAAAAAAAAAATTAAAATTGAGATTCACTATAAAACGTTACAAGTCAAAAAGCAAACTCAGAAAACATCTGCCAAATATCTACATCTTCAACCACACAGCCTGCACCCCAAACAAATAAATAAAATGGAAGAAAAGGGAAAAAATGGAGAACCAGAAACACAAAACAACAAAACAAAACAAAAAACTCAAAAGCCATAGGAAAATCCTGACTATAATCCATCTAAAATTTACAAACAGCTAGAACATCAATCACTGAAAATGTTCCATTGTAATTCAAATTATTTCAAATAAAGGTCATGAATTACACATGTAAAGATAGAACTCTTCATTCTTTTTAAAATATGCATAAGCAAATAGTTAAAGATAAATGACCACCTATTTCATACTATGACATTTCTATCTTTAGGGAAAGCAATCACAATTAATCAAGCAAGCAACATAAACTTATCTCAACCATATGGGGTCAACTACATGAATCATTTGCCAACTATTCAATCAATCATATACCATGTTTTCAGCAAAGCCATACAATTAGATCTTATTTCAATATTTCAACCCAAGTAAATCACAACCTACCTCTTACCTCTATATTTATCCTTGAAAAAAAAAAAAAAAAAAAGGTTTCATCTTCCCAAATTGGAGCACTTTCTGGGTCTCTGTTGCAAATGTACTGACCATCTAAAGCCTATTTTCTCTCATTTCATCATGAATGGATGCTACTCTATAAAGCATGGATACTTCTTAAAGGTTGAAGCATCATTACACACCCATCAAACACATCTAGACTAATTGTTGGATGCACATCAAGCTGTGTCCTGTTTTTTATTTAATTTTCATTCCACTGGACATATTGAAGAGACTTAGAAGACGCACAGACACCTTCGACGCATCAAGGATCAATTACAACTTTTTGGATTTTTTATAGAGAAGTCAATTTCCAATAATATCAAACTTAAACTATTTTATATGTTTTAAAGAGGCACGATTTGCCTATTTTCTAAAGTTGAGGAAAAGATATTGTATTGGATAGACATTTTAATTCCACTCAGCTTATTTAAGTTCTGGGAAGCCAAGAAACTGAATCATGTTCTCATAACCTTGGAAAACTATAAGATTGTCTATGAAGGCACGAGAATTCTGAAATAACTGGTTAAAGCTAACAGCATAAATTCACATATGCAAGATCCTTCCACCTGAAAGAGGGACAATTTTTTCTTAAAATTCTCATGCAGCATAAGTACTACAGTTCTAAATACTACTAATTTGCTATGGTCATAATTTTTTTATAAGGAACAAGGATAAAAGAAATCTCCTTTATCTATATACAAGTCTATCCAAAATATTATGGAAAGACTGATAAAGCATGTATTGAACCTAAGTTGTTTATTATAGGTACACTAAACAGGACAATTTTAAACAGCAGTCAAGAAAGTCCCCCTGGAAAATAGAAACTCAAAAACAGAAAATATATACAAATAAAGAGAGAAGGAAATTAATCCAATGGACCTGTGTTTCGAAACTACTTCATACAGTTAAAATATAAAAGAATAATACAATTTTCATTTGAATATGAACTAGCTAGTTGTTAGAATGTCAAAGGGATTGAATTAAAATATGACATCTAATAGAAACAAATTAATTAAATAAAAGCCAACAAAGAAATGTAAATAGTTGTCCAACCTAGCACTAAATGCTGCCATTGTAGCAATGTGTTTCACATTTATATAGGAATATAACATTATAATTGGAGTATAATTGCTATTGGCATAAGAACAGAATCATGCACACACCTCATTATTTCCATTACAACCAGCAGAAGTTCCATCTTCAGTGAAAATGTCCAGCAATGACAAGATGTCTTCATCCTCCTCTAAAACAGGTGGAAGCGGTTCTTTCGCCAAAGGTAAAACATTTGAGGACCAGGTTCAGATGAAGGCCAACCAGATATGCTTCCAGGAATACACATATTTGTTACAGCAGAGTCATTATTGTGGCAAGGAAGTGTTGGTAGGGACTGACAATTTGCTCTGCCAGATTCAGCACACATATCCAAATCATCATCCCAGTCTTCTTCATTAAATGGTCCCCCGTAGTGAGAACCTATTCTTGGGCCAAGACCATTCTTATGGAAAACTTTACAAAGCACGTATGAACCCTACAACAGAAGAAGCTTCATGTCAAATACAAACGGAAAAGGGGAAAAGAAGCACACGCAGAAAGGTCAAAGAAAAAAAATGTTTAATGGCAAAATCTATTTTATTTTCACAATCCAAAATGTCCACCCTTAATAATTAGTTCATAGTCAGATTGGGTAAGTTCAAAAGCTCAATCTCAATCAACGCTGTAGCTAGACAATCTACATCAAAGACTACTCGTTACCATTATCATAAGATTGAATGCCTAAATTATCCACAAACATCACTGTCCCACCTCTGTGACATAAAAGAAATTACAAATAGATTTGGCAACAAATTCCAAAGACATGTTTCTCAAATGCACTAAAAGACAACTGTATTCAACTTTGAAGATGTGCCCTTTCTGTTTATAAACAAGAATGCCCATATACCAAACTCTATCCGTTACTACCTTCATAATATCCAATGAAATTCAATTGTTGCATTCACAACATCCAGCAACCAAAAACTTAGAACATCTACAAACTTCAGTGCTTGACCTCCCAGACATACAAATCAACATTATACAATCAGACAAGTTGTATGAAGTTTCATTAAATATCTCATGCTGACCAGGAAATTTCTAAAGAGAGATGTGTCAAACATAATAAAAGCCAAGGAACTGTTTAGCCTTCAAAAACTCTCACCTTTTATGAAGAAGCCTCCACCCCCAAGAACCATTTTTTTCTTTTTTTTTTTTTTTGGGGGGGGGGGGGGGGGGGGTTTGAGGATATTAATTGATTAAATACACTATTTCAGGAATAGAAAACTCTGTGGGAACCATGTTAGTTGACATTCTTAACCATCATCTTGTGATGCAAAGACACTAACAAAGACAATTCAAAATCATCAGATTTTGTAGAATATGCTTTTACTTAAAACAATGGGGAAAGGCATAATTTAGATGTCAAAGACCACACAGCACAACAAATATCATCACAAAGCCTTCATGCCCTAGAACATAAACAAAGGAAACACCTGAATAACTCCTGCATCTGACAATCTATACTCATGTATAACCCAATCTGTCCTGTCCCCGTTAGGTGCATGACCCTTGTGGAAAACCAAAGTCTTCACCATTCCCACTGTTTGTTCTTTATAAACAACAGGCCTATCTTTACCAGTGGATTTCCAAAATCCAAATTCAGTTTTACGATTGATTCTTGCGCCACTTGCATATTTTCTCTCTATTGGACAAAAGAAGTACCATTCAAGATCCTTACTTCTCAAGCAAGATTTTCCTGAAAAGAAAAATTGTGTCAACCTAAGAAACAGGGAAAGCATAACTCATTATATTATTTAGACATGAAATGCACATGCACACACATATAAGGGGTCAGAGCCACTAGCACATCAAGTTAGGACATAAATGTTTAATCAAAATAATTAACTTCAAAAATATATTTAAACTATAAAAGAATTAAGAAAATTTTCAATTTTAATACGCACATTAGAAAATGATTTCATACCAAAAGAGCTTAAAAGAGTTGCATTTAACAGGCTTGTAATATTCTATATGCACCATGTGGTAGGTTCATAGGTCCATCACACCACTCTGACTACAAGTAATCAACATAGTAAGCCATGATTATTTGACCAATTAATTCCTAGTTAATTCTTGTTCTTTAAACTCCTCTACCCAAATAATGAAAATTTCAGATTTAATTAGCTAAAGAAAAGAACTTACAACCACAGAATAATAAATCTCAGAAATTGTTCAATTTCAATCACTACTGCTCCAGATCAATAGAAGGAAAACAAATTTTAATGTTAGAGCAGAAAATTAACACTGATGCAAGTAAAAGGTTAGTTTACAATTTTCACCTATCAACTGCCAATTGAAACATCTCAAATGATACCCTACCTCAAAATTTGAAAAGTAAAAAATATACTGGCCCTCCACAGTAAACACCGGTAAGGACAATAAAATAATTGCACAGCAGCTGGATAACGTAATATGTCAGAAATCTTTGAGAGGTATATATCTAATTATACATCATAAAGCAGACAACTACATGTAATGATTAGAGTAATATGCAGAAATTATAAATCTGTAACAATAATCAATGCCTACAGAAACATCAACATTCCGAGCGAAGATATTATCCCACCAGTCACTCACATAATTAAGCAAAAATAAGTCACACATTAGCTTTTGCATATACAAGCAGGTGACTAAGAATTACCTGGAAGATCCCATGGAGAATAATTATATATGTTGAGCTCTGAAATGGCATCAACTAGTAGCCTTTTACCCGTTGCTTTTTTTTCAAGTAGTACATAACCAGCTCAACATCTGTAGGATGAAAACGAAACCCAGGAGGCAGGGACATTCCAGCCATGAAGAATAACAGAAAATCCCACGATCTAGAAACTTAAAGACTCCAATGCAATATAACCCGCCCAACAAATGCTTTCAGCAGCAATAGCGTCTTCCTCTTAAAGAAATAATACTGAACAAAATACACTAAATAAAATCGCTATATATAGTCCTAAAAATCAGTTTTTCCCAGAAACTCCCAACTGCTGTCAAGTCCAGTGCCGAAACAAGATCTTCCGATAGCACAATAACCAACCCCGGCTCATGAAACAGAAAGCACAACAAAGAAACCACTGATATTTGTTGCAGGGAGCAAAAGACATTTGGTGTGCAAATCAAACCCTGACTTTGTCAGAAAGAAAGAAACCCTAAATCACAAAACGGAACCAAAAGGCAAACCAAGGATCGATACACAATCAGAGACATCACGAACGTATTATAGGAAAATATGCAAAAAAGAAGCAGCAAAAATAAAAAGATAGCAGAAAATAAGGACGCGTCACAAAAAAGAGATAAAGAAAATTTCGAGCCGCATCTCTGCTGAAAATCACAGACTCACTAATACAGAAGGATAAATACTCCTCATATACTTGCGACGACTCGAAATCAATACAACATATCACAATAAAACAATGATTTCTGCGCTAGAACAGAAACCCTAGAGCTTGGAAACAAAATCACGTCGAAGTGCAAGGAACAGGAAACCAAAACAAACAGAAGCAAAAGAAATCGAAGCAACTCAGCGACAACAGATAAGGAAGAAAAAGAAAACCCTAGACATCTCACCCGCAAGAAGATTTACCTAGGGAGACTCTACACAGAGAGAGAGTCGAACCGCTGTTTCGAAGGGAACTTGGGCCGTGCCTGGAGAGAGGAGCAATATGATCAGAGTGAAGGTTTATATAGGAGGTTAATGAGGGGATAGATGGGCAACCTATTTTTCGCGCGCGTGTTGTGGGTGGGTGAGGGCAATGGCGGTGGTTTTTGAAGCGAACAAGCGAGCAATGCGTGCGAGGACGAAGCTTCTATGAGAATCCTCGGCATTTTGTTTGGTTAAAAATTGAGGAAATTACATGGGAGGGTTATCCAACTTTATCCTTGCTTCGGTTGGGTCACTCGTCTGATTAAACTGTTACAATCGAACCATGTTGTCAATATTCCGTCCATTTAAGTTAATGGAATGCACAGGTAACAGTTAATTTGAAATACTTAGGATGTGCACGGTACAATCATACTTTTTTAGGATAAAAATAAAAATGTGAATATTGAAAAATTATATTTTAACATATATTTTATAATAAAAATTTTGATTTTATAAAAAATTAAGATTTTTTATCAAATAATATAATAATGGAATGCACAGGTAACAGTCAATTTGAAATACTTAGGATGTGCACGATACAATCATACTTTTTTAGGATAAAAATAAAAATGTGAATATTGAAAAATTATATTTTAACATATATTTTATAATAAAAATTTTGATTTTATAAAAAATTAAGATTTTTTATCAAATAATATAATACAGGTTCCATCATCAAAGTGGTGTAATTTAAATTTTATTTTCTCACTTGATTGCTTTCTGTCTTTCCATTAAAAATAACAAAATTATTCTACAAATATTAAAAATAAATATTTATAATATTATACATAATATGTTAATACATTATATATTTCATATTACACATATTTTATTATAATATATAATATGATATATAATATTAAATATTATAGTATTGAATATATTATATATCTAATATATATATAATATATTATGTATATGAATATATAATATAATATAATATAATACACAATATATATATATAAAGAGATTCAATTTTTTAATGTGAGAATATAAAATTGTTATTTCTTTAGCTTTTCATTATCTTCATAATATATTTTAAGTTAAAATTTTTTTTAATTTTAAATTTTTCTTCTTTGAACAATTTTCTTATTTCTTTTCCTACATCGATTTTAGCATACTAAATATACTAATGGAATAAAAATAAACCTACAATAATTTATGAGTGAGAAAATCAGGTAAAAAATTAGAAATTCCTTTGATAAATTCAATATCAAAATCAAATACGGAAAAAATGGCTTGCCATTTGGTAAAAATTTGTTTTGAGATAATATTCTGAATATCTTTCAATAAAATTTCTTTAACTAACTTACAATCAACGCAAAGAAAAAAAAAACATTGATTAATAAGATCAAACTGAAATTTCTAAATACAAAGAACAATAGACAATTTCTTTTTTAATAGTAGAATAATTTTTTTGGGGCCCAAGCCAAACCCTTAAACAAAATTTGACTAAATATTCATGAGATGCATTAGAAAGGAATTCTTTTTTTCAATATACCATCATATCGTATATCCGATGCATCTGTTTCTATTATAAGGAATGCCTATGAATACAATATGCTCATACATGGCAATTCTTTCACTTTACATTTTTACATTTTTACTATTTCAATATGCTTATTTGTCCAAAGTGTAGGATTTTTCCGAAATCTTTTATATAAAGGTTCACATAATTTTCTCAAATCTTGGAAAAAAATCCGCTATATAATTCATATATCCTAAAAATCTTTGTAATTGATTTTTATCAATAATCTCATCTGAAAATTTGTCAACAAATTCTATAAACTTGTTAATAGGTGTTATCATATTTTTATATATATCATATTCTAAAAATTTTACTCTAGTCTGGAACAATTTCATTTTCTTTTCTGACACAACTAATTCATTTTCTTTTACAATATTCAAGAACTTTTTAAGTTGTATAAAATAACTTTCTGTACTATGAGAAAATACTAAGACATCATCTATATAAACTATGGTATAATTTGTCTTATTAAAAATATCATTCATAATATTGTGAAATTTGATGGGGCATTCTTTAGTTCAAAAGGCATAACGTTCCATTCATAATGTCCAAAAGATATAGTAAATACAGTCTTATAGATCCTTTTCAGTAATCTAAATTTACCAAAATCTTGATTTCATATCAAATTTTGAAAATATAAAAGTATTATGCAATTTCTTAATTAAATCTTGTTTATTTGGTATAAGATACCTAATCCATCTTAAAGCTTTATTCAAAGGCTTTTTTAATTAATTACTAATCTGAGTGCTCCTCTTTCTATTTCTGCACCATTATTCATATAAAATGCTGTGCAACTCTAAGGGGATTTACTAGGTCTAATTAATCCTTTTTCTAATAAATCATTTATTTCTTTTTTATAATATTCTAATAATTTTTCATTCATTTGAATGGGGCTAGCCTTAGTAGGAATTTTGGATTTATCAAAGTCTTTTTCAGAAGGTAATTCTATTATATGCTTTTTTTTGTTCCAAAAGGTATTAGGGATATTTGAACAAACTTCGTTTTTAAATGTTTCTTCTAATTCTTTTATTTTTTTCTTTCATTTCTTATGCCTCTAATTGCTCTTCTATATTAATTAATCTTACTTCTTTACTCAAATAATTTATATGTTTTTCTTTATCTTTTATTAATCTTATCAAAGACTTTTCTTTCAAAATTTTTACTTCCTTTTCTTTAGGTGGGAAAATAAACTTATAAAATATAGGGTTTCCAAATGCTTCTATAATTATTCCATAAGTATCCACTTTAAAAGGAAAAATAGATATTAAAAATAGAATTCCTAATATTATGCTTTCTGATAAATTTTCTATTAATACAAAAAGTTGATCTTAAGCAAATGTTTTCGTTACAAATATGTACATTAGACAATTTATAATTTAGTCTTAAAGGTTCTCCTGAAATGGTATGCAAATTTTCTTTAGCTTTTACAAAATACTGAGTACGTACTAATCTATTTTATATACAATTAATATCTGCTCCTGAATCTACTAAAGCTAACTAATCTAAAGTGTATTAATTATTTATTTTTAATTTTATTCTAATAATCCATTTTTGGGTTTTATTTTTTCTATTATATTTAAATATTCACTAAACTGTTTTAACTCATTATCACTATTCTCATTATCTGAATTTATTTCTAATTTTTCTTTTCCTCTACTAGATTCTTCTTGTTCATAAAATACTATATTTTTTATTATTTATTTTCATTTTTCTTTTCTTTTTTAAATTTTCTAATACTTCTTTTAACCCATATTCTTTCTCACTTTTTATTATGGTCGATTCTTCTTTTCTTAACAAGTCTCTAATCTTTATTAAATATTTTTTTTTGTAATTCTAAATTTTCTATCTTATCTGTTAATTTTATTAGAATATTCTTATCTTTTGATATTACATTTATTTTACTACAAGAATATAGTCCAAATTTACAATTTTCTTCTAATTTACTAGACTCACTATATTTTGAATTACTAATAATATTTTCATATATTCCTTATTTTATCTTTCAATTTACAATTAGTTGAAATATGTCTATATCTATTACACTTAAAACATTTTATTTTTATTTGTCTTGAGTTTTCTGAAATGTTTTTTGATTTTTATACTTATTCCTTTTCCCCTCTTTTTTTTTTGGAAAAATTGTTGATTATTCTTATTTTTCTTTCTTTTCCTAGAAGGTGCTACAATTTTCTCATAACCATATTGTGAACAAAATTCTCCTAATTCTTTTCTACTAGTAATAGAATCTTTCTTAAGTTTTGCATTTAATTTTAAGTCTGTACATAAATTTAATCTTTCTGCATTTATTATTGAAGTTAGTTGTCCATATGTTAATTTATCATAAGGAATTATTCCATTATATTTTTCTCTTAATCTATTTCTTACTCTTTCTGCAAATAATTTTGGTATTCCAGCTATAAATCTTTCTTTCCAAAATGATGATGTATTATCTGCTCTAAATAATACTTTAGTTATAAATAAGTTTTTATACCATTTAAGGTCGTAAAGGGTAGGACAAGTAAGATTAAACAATTGTTCTGAAATTCTTTCCGTATATACTTCTGAATCTCTTACAAAATGTTTTACTATAGTATATATTAAAGTATCCACTGCCTCTGGTTCTATTGTAGGCACA